TGCACCTGAAGTAGGTGAGCCTCTTTTGTGGGAAAAGTTGATACAGTATACTGCACTAAAGAAGCGAAATTGAGCACTTTCCTTAAAAAAAAACCCTTTCTTAACATCTTAAATTGCTTAAGCTATCAAAGGTTTTCCATCTTATATTCACTCTTTGAGGTTATATTTTGCATCAAACGCATTATAATGCTTTCTCCATTTAAATACGGACAGTTGAGAGGCCACGTCCCTGTTTGAAGCAGCTTTTATTAGAAATATCAAAGCGATGGGAATCCAATATTCATAGATGACGCAGTTTGGATGTCGCCGAGATTTTTGTCGGAGATAATGAAAGACTATTTGAGATAATTCTGTGTGTGTGTGTGTGTGTGTGTGTGTGTGTGTGTGTGTGTGTGTGTGTGTGTGTGTGTGTGTGTGTGTGTGTGTGTGTGTGTGTGTGTGTGTGTGTGTGTGTGTGTGTGTGTGTGTGTGTGTATAAATACGTTTGCCAATGAGACGGCGTAAAGTGGATTATTCGCTTTGCTAATGCCGCCATATGCGAGGAGCCATTTGATGTCTGAGAATCTACAGACACGATGGGACATCTTCACTAATGCAGCTCTTAATGTGCCTTCAGGGCCAAGAGACTTCATGTGGCTGCATAGCAAAGTACATAAAGACATGCATTGGCACTAACTAATGTCTGGTCTTTGACGCAGGCATGCTCATTATGGGTTATGTAGAATTAAATCATTAAAAACTCGATTCTTTTGGTACCAGACTGTTAAAATAGGCTGTTTATTTTGGTCCCAATGTGTATTTTACTCCATAGCATGTCACAAACACTCGCTGAAATTGTACTTTTAGGCTTGTAAAGAGGGTGGTATCAAGTATAAGAAGTGAAATTACATTAAAATGCATTCATTATTCATTTGTCAAGCTGCTCAGGTGCTTTGAGGTTATCAGGGTGTTTTAACAGACCTTATGTAATATTCAAAAGCACATACCTTGCCTTCTGCATGCATTGCGTCATGAAAAGTGTAACTTAACTTAACGCTGCAGTGAGTGCTCAGTGTTGCTTTCACTTTGACGTGTTATGATCTTAAGGTGATGGAGCGATTCACCGAAGTATGCAAGATGTGTATCTACGTTTTTATGAGAAAATGAAGGTGATAGATATGTCTGAGCGCTTATTTAACACTTGTGACAAATCCAGACTAAAGATGTGGATTATAAAATATTGATCTATTCTAGAATATGATGAAAAATGCTAAACTAACTGACTGACATTGATACGTATTTCACATATTTCCATGCGTTTGAACTCTAAAATAAAGCAAAAAATGCCTGATATTACCGAATAAAGCTTTTATTAAGGTCCAGTTTAATAAGCCATAGAAGAAGCCACAAGAAGGCGACACACACACACACACACACACACACACACACACACACACACACACACACACACACAGAGCCAGACCACAGCGAGTCCTTCTTAACTTGCCAAAAAGCAGTAAAAAACTTGGATGTGCTTCTGTAGCTGACACAGAGTGCTGAGATGACATTCCTCCTGTCCATTAGCTTGTCTGCTCACATCTCGTCAGCCACCGTCGTCATTTTCCACATTCAGGGGTTTCCTTTAGCGCTCTTCATTACAAAAAGTTATTTTATATCATAGGGTTCAAAGTGTCCCACTGTCGGCAATTAATTCTTAATTCATCAGAGAGTACGTTGCGTTCAGGATATGTGTTCGTACCACTGAATTCAAATGTTATTAACCTTGTTTTTACTGTAGATAAAGTGAGCGTTAATTGGTGAAGACGCAAAGAAGCAAGCGTAGGATAAAAGAAAACCCGTTGATGATATTCTTTCTCACCTCCCACTTACTCAGTAGATTTAAATTATGCTTTTAGATCAGTCTATTCAACTATACTGTGGAGTTTCATTCCCCATATCTTTTTATAACATTAAAATGTCTAGACGTGTGATGTCACAGAGACATTCAGGACAGCGAACAAAGCCTCGGCTGTCAGTCTCCCACTAATGGCGGTCCAAAGTGTCACATTGTCCCATGTTTTTCTATGAAACCTAGAGAAGATCATTTTGTTAAAGGACAGTCGCCTCCAAACCAAACAAAATCTGTCATTATCCACTTGTTCCAACGTCCGTCAAGATGTCTTTGAGGTTGACGTGAACACAACATGTAGTTCCTGTACCTTGAAGCGTTGATGGGTTCTTGTCTGCAACTTTGGAAATGTATTTGAAGAAGATTGTGCCTTGAACACAGAGGAGTGGCGACAGAGTTTTGGTGACTTTGTGAAGTAGCTCGGGACTTTTGGAGTTGTTGTTTTCACCACTTTTCACGTTTTTGCAGTCAGCTGCTCCTGGTTAGGATCCCTTCACGGTTTATCGTTGAGGATTTGAACTGGTAGCCACATTTCCACAGGAGTTGCAATGGACACTAACAGATGAAGATGAGAGAACTGTTACTAATGTCTTACAAACTGAAGGTTTTGAT